GCTCATAAAAGTGCTTCAAAATTTTGCTTTATGATTATATTTCAGACTGTTTATTAAAATGACACATTGATAAGGCATTTATTCTGTATATTTTGAGAAAATGCAATTTTTGTTAACATTTTAGTCAAAACACTGTGTTTGCCTGTTTCTCCATAAACCACTTTTAGACTTAATCCTCATTTCAATGTGATGGCTCACAAATATGAATTTGACTTTTATTTATTTTTGTACATACTGGCACCTGGTAGTGACAAGCCATGTTTCCTAATAAGGTTKAAAACACAACAACTCAATCTTCCTCACAAATAAATACCCCAGTTCCAACATCTGGTTCTGGCATCACATTTTATTTTGAAAGGKTTATAAAGTGGCAACTACAGTCACTGTGGKCTGAGCTCAGCTTTACTGACATTTGAGGAAATGTTAACACATTTCAAATGTTTTTGCTTCAAATACACATACATCCCAATTTGTTGCACTAAAAGTACTAAAAGGTACCTCATCATGTTCCTATAAATACGTCTACAGAGGGATTTTCTTTTAAACATTTTTTTCCATGAGTCACACAGCGCAGACATACTGTCTTTATTTACTTYAGCAGCTTCCTCAATTGAACTTTTATTTAAGCAAAGGTAAAACAAAGACCACGAGAAACTAATATAATTTCTTCTTTATTTAATGCATTATTCTTATAATTTTAGGTCTGATAAACCACACCATCTAAACTTAGCACAAAAACTAAGGAAATTAATGTTTGGTAGATTATTTCTTTGTTGTAACAATGCTTTTTGGCAATAAATCTCATGYWGGTKGAAAGCCTGTTAATTTCCCTTTTAAATGGTGCCACATTTGTAAGGAACATGCATTTGTGGGATGAGCAGTAGAGATGACTATGTGGGTTGTGCACATGAAAAATTTGTTAAATTGTCTCTGCCAAACTACGACTTGTTTTGAGCTTGTGGTTCTGCTAATCATGTGCCCGATATAAGATTTATTACCGTATTTTTCGGACTATAAGCCGCGACTTTTTTCCTGAACTTTGAACCATGCGGCTTATAGTCCGGTGMGGCTTATACGTGGATTTTTTTCTTCAGCCACCAGGGGGCTCTTATGCTCCATTTGCTTCAACCACTCGCTTCAAAAAAAGAAAGGAAAAAAAAAGAAAAAAGCGATCACTTCCAGAGCTGACTGTTGACCAGGAAGCAGCGATTTAAAGATAGTCAATGGCCAAAAACTCATAAAAGGGGATAAAACAGACACTTTTCATGGTGGAATCTGACTGATAAAAACTTTGGATCTTAATCCAGGACCAGTTTGTGGATAAACGTCGAGTGAAGAGCTGCTGACTTTTTTTTCCTCATTGCACTCCCCGGAGAAGGAATCCCATGCAGTGACGTATGCTGGAGCGGGAGGGCTTTCCCACCACAGCTTCAGAGCCAGCATTACCCCGGGAGGACAGCGACACAGAAACACTGAACAGATACCGCTGTGTGACGCAGCTTTTCTCAGCTTGTTTAACTCCGACACTGAAGAGGAGGACTTTGATGTTTTCAGTGCGCCGGAGGAAGATGAATGAGACGTTTTGTTGGACCAGAAACTGTTAAAGAAAACTACCAAAATAAGGTCAGTTAAATGAACCGTATTCCTCCGAACTTTAATTCCTAAAGGTTTGCTTTTTATGTTTTGATGTTGAATTCACTTTTTTGACAGCAAATTTGGGTGTACTGTTTTTTTTTATGTTGGGGGTGCGGCTTATAGTCCGGTGCGGCTTATATGTTAATGTTCGCGGATTTTTTAAAAAAAATGGCGGATGCGGCTTATAGTCCGAAAAATACGGTCCTAAAAAGCGTTGTTACAACAAAGAAATCTACAAAACCAGGGTACCTGCAGGTTTAAGTAAGTCAAATTTAAGACTTTTTATAGCTTTTTAAGGATGTGCGAACACCCTGCAGACACAAATGTTCTTACTTTTTGTGCTAAGTACAACCAGCCAACCATCTTTATTACCACCCATTATCCATAGTTCATTCATAGAAGCAACAGGTCCAACAGAGAAACATAAGCTGTGTTTCCATTGACCATGAAAATGCGCAAATTAGAATTTCAAAAATAAATTTGCTCAATGGAAACACGTTCATTTAGAAAAAACTTCATTTTTTCGACAAAATGTTTTTGCGCTAGGATGAGGTGTTTTTTCGGCCGTATCGAAATTGGTGTGTTTCGCAAAACTGCAATGGAAACACTTTTTTTGCATCACGGGAGTCACATGATCAACAACCGGCTGTTTCTACTGGCGAAARACACGACAACGACAAAGAAAACAGGAAGTAAAAGTAGTAGTAAAATCACGGAAGTTGTAAAAGAATGTAGTAAACTCACCGACTACAATTTCCCAAAAACACAGCATTCGTAGCCACTCCCAGGTATAAGGGACTTGTCACTGGAAAGCCTCGATAAAAGACGCCGACGTCTCCTCTGATGATGAACGCTAGTCTSCTGGTAGCAGCATGTGTTTACATACTTTACCGCCATGTTTGTAATGATTTATTGTGAGAATAAACGTATTCACGTGTGACTTTAATAGCATTTCTTACTTAATGGAAACACTGCAGTTGCGAAACTGTGTTTTTTCAGCATTAACAGAATACCGACAAAGTTTTGCGCACATTTGCAATGGAAACACAGCTACAGGCCCCACTCTCCACCTGRGGAACCCCAGCCAGAAGAGATATATCATCCCTCTAACAGGTTATGGATCTGCCTAATATATAAAACTATTGGAATTTTTGTGCTTCAACCAATTGGACAGGCAGACCGTGTGCAACACTCCCTTCAACCAATAACAATACATACCACATCTTATCCTTTCACTGTTTGTCAACAGAAGTGCAGCCCGCCCCGCGACTTCAAAGTTTCGAACATCATGTTTTGTTTCATTATACTTTGCAGGAAGACCACAGTTTCACTCAAAACAAGCCTGAACATGACATTTCTACATGGTTTTAACACCTAAAAATAGCTTTGTTTTTTATTGTTTTTGTTTTTTTAAACTGGCCCAGGTGGTTCATTTTCAATCATTAGAATGAACTCTTGATTTTTTTTAAATCCGATGTTGCTGACCTGTACACCCCTACAGCCTCCTTGGACGTCCTCTCAAGGTGTCTGAAACGCATGGCCATGGGCARCTCCAAACTGGTGGCCCGTCTAAGGAACAAAAAGAGCAAAAACATTGTTGACAAAGACAGTTACAGTTAAGTGGTCTGTGGAAAATTCATTTTAAAATATTACATAGGTGAAGGTGTCGACATAGAAAAAAAACAGACACGTTTTCARAGATCTGTAGCTAAAATGCCAGCACCACACCCCCTCTGTGATTCAAACAAATCACTTCTATCAGACCTGATGCTCTAGCTTAGGCAAATGAAAAAAGGAAATATGTGGTCAGGCTTCCTAGTTTGGGTGATTCCCTTTAACTGTCATTCATTAAATGGCTGAAGTGATGTGTTTCTKTTTTACATCATTAAAACCACACAAACTGGTCAAACTACCACAACTGTCAATTTTTATTAGAAGTTTAAAAACATATACGAAATAATTAGTTATATACACCGAAAAGAGCAGAGCATCCAGAATAGTTGGACGGCTATCATTTCTAGTTATTTTCTAATTACAATAAATACTAAAGCAGACTGACATGACAATGTAGGTACAGGTTTACATCCACAGTTGGACTGCTTTGGGTAACTGAAACTTTATTCTCAGCTATTTTAGCATGTTAAAATGTATTTTATTAAATAATAAAATGCTTGCCATTTAACTTTTTTGTATCGTTTTACCTTAAAACTCAAAATCTGATTCTGCACCTGCATAAACACTTCTCTGAGTCAAAGCCAAGCWAYGCAGTTTTATTATTATTGATGGCARAAYTGTTAGTTGCTGTGACATCAAATCAGAAMAAAGAAACACTAGAGCTGCATAAAAAGGAGCTGATATAGTAGGCGTATATAGGAAGTATGTGGAGAAAACTAAACAAAAAAAGAATTATAGTAACATCTGGTGTCAGTGTGTTTTTAGGACTAGAGTCAAAATGCTGACAGAAAGAAAAAAAAAAGTACCAACTCCATCAATAAAAAGGCTGACCTTGTGGACTTCAAAAGAACTTCGTCTTCCTCATCATCATATGGTCCGATGTCAGGAAGCTGTCTGTGCTGAGACGCCAGGAAGTTAAACATATCAAAGGTTGACTTCCTGTGAAGAAAAGAGACACAAAAACTGCCTTTTAATCTTATCTGGAACAACAAGATGCAAACATTTACAGGCAGAACAGGTGTCTGTTTGTGTTAGAAAGTTCATGTTTTTCTTTTTCGTTTGCTAAGTCAATAAGGATTTTTCCCACACGGACGAATCTCACTGGATAACCTGCTTTAACTCACAAAAACACTGCAGTGGTCAAATAAGTTTATCTTAATTAAACAAGCGTGACGTCCAACCTGTCTGATACTGAACCATGTTAAAGCAACACCAGACTTCCCTGAAAAGAAACAAGATTAGTTTGACGGGAAAAGTCTTACACATTAATAAGATAAACATGACCAGGAAACCGGTGTGTGATTTCTAATAAGGCTGAAAAAACATCAAACTTTTTCCTTTTTTTAAAAGGGTGCAGGTGCTTTTATTTTTTTCTCATATTTCTGAATATATTTCTAGAGGAATACTTTAATTTGTCTCCCTAATCACAATCAACCATTAATATTTGGTCTGAATCCTATTTTAGGTTGTTCTAATGAGAATTTGTTGATGTCATCTTAAAGAGAAAACACGAAACAATATATGGATATTAAGGATATTATTAATTTACCAGCTGGATAGAAAAAAAAGCTTTGCTAGCTCTCAAGAAAAATTACAAAACTGTAAGGCTTTTCTGTTCAAAGTGATGTTTTTATAACTACTGCTAAAAAAGGCTTCAACAGATTTTGTAAGATTATATTTCACATATTACATTTAAACGGCCCATAAATAAGGCATTTATGTAGTAAATTTTGACAAAATATAATTGCTACAGCTGTTTATTTCTCCATTTGGGGATCAGTGTCCCTACAGTTTAAGAAAAGTTAAATTTAAGACTTTTTAATGCCAAGTGAAATTAAATTTAAGACCAATTTCATAATAAACATAAATGACAAAAAAATAAAAATAAAAACTGTGGCAGAAACTCATGAATCAAAGTATTTTTGGTTGAAGTATTCAAATATTGCTAATAGACCACTTGTTTTTATCCATTTATAACTATAGCAGAAACATTCTTAGCAGTCAGTTTTAAACTTAAATTAATTTCTGGAAATCCTCTAACAACCCAAAATTTGAGTTTTAGGACCCACAGTGGGGTCTTAACCCACATTTGCTGTAGATGAAACCTTAAAGTGCCCGTGACATCAAGTTTTTGTAAGAAATATGAATGCATTTTTGGAATAACAACATTATTAACATATTACAAAACAAATTTCACATTGCTCAGATGGACAGTTGTTGAGATATTTGCATGTGAAATAACCGGAAGTGATGTCAAAGGGGAATGTCTGCATGTGAATATTTTTAAAAAAACTAAATGTTACCAATTCTTTTAATATTTGAGATGAATTACAATCATCCAACTTACAATGTGTTAATATTTTTAAGACCTCTGAAAGATTGATTTAAGACATTTAAGGCTAATTAAGGCCTTATTTTTGGATTGATGAATTCACTGCCTTTCAAGACTTTTTAAGGATCTGCAGGAACCTGTTGATATGATAATAAGTCACATTTAAGGTTTCAGCTAAAACAATATATTTGGAGCTGTAACATGAGGACTGACCTAACGTAGAGTTCAGAGCGCGCACAGCCACTGGGATTCACAGGCAGATCGTCGTCCTGGCTGAACTGTTTGAAGAAACGGAAGGTGTGCCGCAGACACCGAGGAGCTCCTTCCAGTTGCTCCAGCAGATAAACCACGGCGTCGTGGATCAGGCCGAGCATACGGGCGCCGGTGATCTTCTGAAAGGTCAAAGGCCGGAGTCTGGCGATAGCGCGTGCCTCCTGCACACCATCTATCACCGCTTTCCACGCCACTGAAAGGAGGGTTCGGAATTAAATGCATGCAGGTGAACATTGCAGGTATAAATGAGTTAAACGTCATAGAAATTTTTGATTTACCCTCAATACTTTCGGCCTCCACACTAAAACCGTCATCGCTGGTGATCTCAAATCTCAGATGAGGCTGCTCTTTGTTAGCTGGACATTCCTCATCGTCATCAGATGGTGACGTCTCATCTTCTGAGGGTGACGCAGCGCCTAACAAGACATGTCATGCAACCTGTTTTTTTCACATTATTCTTAATTATTTCTGTAATTGTGAGTAAATCCCTGGGTTTAACTTAATACCAGAGTATTTCTTCCAGTCTGTGAGACTGTTGTGCCCCACCGGTTCCCATGCCTGCTGTTTGTCTTGTTCATCCTGAGACAAATAACTCCAAGGCTCTGATCTGGAAAATAAGATTAACTGTTTTCAAAACACAAATCCAAACATACTTATTGTGYATTTTGCTTTGCTACAGCTTACATAATTAATAACAAATAATAAAAAATAATGTCAATGAACTTTAAGTGCAACATTTAGCTTTTTCTCAAGTGAGATCCAAATTACCTTGTAGAGCTGCTACTGTTTAATATTAAATAAGAAAGTTCAACACAAAATGGTCAAATACATCAAATTTGTCTGAAAATATCCTATTTTTTGTCAAAAAAGTAGGATCCACATATTCTGAAAGTAAAGCTCACCAATAACTATGGTTTCTACTTTGTAATCTTTTCAAAATAAAACGCGATGGCTGAAAGATGCCAAATATTTCAAGCTGTTGTACGAGAGATTAGGAAAAAAAAAAAAAAAGAGAGAGAGAGAGAGAGAAATAACTGCTGTTAAGCATCTAGGTGCGTTTCCACTACATCAGAGGTTCTCAAACTGGGGTCCCAAATTGTTAAATTGGTTTTTATTTTTAAAAATGCATGGAGAACAATGAACTAATAAAACAATCATAATAAACTTAATAAAAATATATACTCCCATGGCATTTATGGGTTGAAATGACAAATTATCTTTTAAACAGCATGGATTTTATGAAGGGGTCCCTGAAATTTTTTCGCCCTTGTAAGGGGTCCCCACACCCAAATAGCTTGAGAAGCACTGCACTAGGTGATAAAAAAACATTTTCATTTGATGACAAATGGTCAAAAATCACACATTTCTCTACGAACAGTATGACAGACTTCAATTTAAAATAAAATAAAAAATAATGATTCCACAAGTAGAACAACTTACCCTGAGCTATCAGAATCACTCATGTGCTCCTCCTTGAGCTCGTCCAGGTTCAGGACTCCTTTCACTGTTGGGGTTTTGATGCGAACCCCCGAGGCTCGGCTGGGGATGCTCGGAAAAGTTGCCTCCTGATGCTCCTCTTCCTCGCTGACGGCCTCTGGCTGCAGGAAGTCCACTTTCGACTTCTTGGTGATGATGCGATCGGAAAGTGAGGACACCCTCTTCATGCGAACGTGGGTTCGGGGGCGAGGYGTGGGAGCTGGTGCTGGAGAAGGAGAGCGTGGTGACGCTGGAGGCTCTGGTTCAATCAAAAGGCCAGGYGGTAAAACCAGGGAGGAGGGGCTCATGGTTCGGAGCCCGCTCCACTTGGGGGTGTAGTTACTCGCCATTGCTTGATTAATGATGGCCTGGGCACTTTCGGCAGGAGTCACAGGATGAGTTTCTGTAGACAGGGATGCCTGCCCCGCTGCCTTGGATGACTTTGATGTTTTGRATGAATTCGACTCCTTCTTCTTCTTTGGCTTTTTCATTTCTGGGGCCATTTCATCCTTTGGTGCTTTTGGGTTTTTCTTCGACTTTTTCGCATTTGAYAGTGCCACAGCAGTGTTGTTATTGTTGCTGAGCAACTGAGTGACTGTAGCTGGGTTCTGRACAGCAGGCGCGACAGACCCAGTGACCGCCGTCACGTTGGTGCCGGGCAGCGCAGCCATCATGTTGCCAGCCGCCGCCAGCGTGGCTGAAAGMGCGTTGCTCTGTAAAAGGCTGGCAATTTGAGTGACGCAATTATAGGAGGAGGAATTGGGAGTGGGCAGCTGGAAGGTGTTGCTTTCAGGGTTCTTYACGAAGATCTGACCGAGCCGGTTCACCAGAAGTACGTGCGGAGTAGGATCTACGTTCGGACCTCCTACTTCCTTCACAGTGAGGATGGCGTGACCTGGTAATGCCTGGGGCAGCACTGGCTGCTGAGGCTCCATAACTGGCCGGGGAGTGGAGAAGTTGATCGAGATCGTGTGACCAGCTGTGGGTTCCTTCTGCACGGACGAGGAGCTATAACCATTCACCATCACAGGGGCGGTGGTGGTCTGTAATGGCGTTGGAGCAGCTGAACAATGTGTCGATAGCATAGAGGAAGAAGAAACAGCGGTGACAGTCGCAGAATTGAATGGCTGTGTTTGTGTTGGATATGCAGAAATGGAAATGGCTGCACAAGTTACTGCTGGGGGACAAGTCCCTGGCATTGCTGGTAACCCAGGACTATTTGTATTTGCAACATTTAGCTGCATTTCTGTCACATCTTCCACAGGAGTGAGGTTCGTTAGATTAGTAGAGAAAGGCTCTAAGGTAGGGAAGTTTGTTGATTCTTGCGTCGTCATCACCGGCTGAAGTGTGATACTTGACAGAGGAGGCTGACTGAAACCTGGTAAACAAGAATACATCTCCAGAGGATCRTCAAGGCATCGTGAGTGGTTCTGGGTATCAGTGGACATTAAAGGAGATGGTTCAAGAAGACCCATAAGGGAGCTTTGGGTACTACCAGCTGACTCTGCTAATGAGGGTTCAATTGCCAARTGGTTCATCAGCACAGAAGACCCTTCAGATGCAAAGTTATTAATTTCAGGGTCCGAGTTCAGGACTGCCTCCGACTGGTTTGGAGTATCATGCAGTACAGGAAGCAGTTCTGTGAAACACGGGGTACTGTGACATTTCTCAAAAACAAGAGGTGTATCAGGGACAAGGCCTAAACTGGAACCAAGTATTGTCTCCTCTGAGTATGATGTCTCAGGCACCTTTGTGAGTAAGTTAGGAAGACAGTCAACAACTGAAGAGGGTAGGATTTTTAGTTCTACTAAAGGAGTGTCGGACGTTTTGCTGGCATCACGGAACAAAGGTGAACTGTCACCTGTAGATCTTTTAGAAACTGAAAYAGCAACGGACGAAGATTGTGTTTGTCTATCATTTGATGACGTATTGGGGAGGTTTCCACCATTAGAAGTTTCAGAAGAGTTTTTATTAAGGTTTTTTCTCTGTATCTGATTTTTGCCTGAATTACCCACTTTCTGAGCATCATCCGTTGTTGCTACACTCGCATCACTCTCTGTCCCGTCGTCAACACCGTCAAGTTGCGCCAAGGGCCGCGAAGAAGAGGAGGAAGGTGACTTGGACCGATCTTTTGACAGCGGGAGGCTCACTATTGTTCGTGAAAAATCAAAATAGTGGTCCATGTCATCATCAGAGGACGTGTTTCCCAAGTCTTCCTTGGCAGAGGCTGCCGATCGTGGAAGATTTGCAACAAGGGTTTTCTTCTTGTGCACCTCTTGGGTTCTTCCCCAGAACTCCTCCTGATCRTCACCTTCTACCACTATTTGCCCCCCACAGTTCATCGCCACCCCTTCATTCAGCAGCGTTTCTTCAATCTCAAGTTCTGYTCGCATCTCCTCGCCCAAACTTAGACTGGGATCCTTGTGGAATGAACTGTATGAAAACTCTTTGCTGTGTTTGCCCATGTCCCCGTGGGGCGACGTACCATTGGTTGGAGAGATGTCCTCAGGTTCCGGGGAAGCCAAGAAGTTGTGCGGTACCTCGACAGAGTCTGATTGATTCAGTTCAAAYGACAAATGATTTCTGGGTAAATGCTGCATGGATGAGGAGTACGGCAGACTTACTGAGGCAGAACTGTCCTGCCAGTGAGACTGAGGAAAGAATGACGATGTACAGGGCGTTAATTTGCTCCCAGGGCAACGACCCGAGGAGCCGTTTCTACCGCCGATGGAGCGGGATGACGGACAGTTCAGTGAGTTGTCTGAGAGTGGGAAGAGTGGAGAGGTAGGCAGGGAAGATTTGACAGCACGATGGGAAGCTGGTCCAGTTAGAGAAGCCAGTGGAGGGGGGGACATGCGACCGCGAAGACCAGAKGTCTGACAGTGTGAGTGTGGGCTAAGGCGACGAGCTCTTCGAGTCTCTTCTAGATCACTTATGGTCAGAATATGGTGRGGCTTTGACTGGGTTATACCTAAAAGTAAAAACAGATTTGATCATGAGCTTGAAACKTCTATGTTATTGAAATCCAATGTAAATATAACTATACAAATACAAATAAAAATGGTATCTTACCAGGAGATGGAAGAGGTCGGGACAGTCCTCCAGCTGGTCTTCTGGGCAGGGGATGAACAGGAACTTTTGGTTTTGCATTGTGATCTGACTTTAAGGGAAGACCTGGRATAAAGATTTCTTCTGCTGAGGGTTGACTTTCTGGCACATCACTTTCTTGGGCTTCAGATTCTGAAGATACAAAAACACATTTTAAGAAACCATATCTACCTATTACTATAAAGATAAGCATGTCCCCTCACACTGTAGACTACTTTAAATGTAACTTTCTCACCAGGTAGTTGACAGGGGCTGTGAGCAATGGTCTGATTTTCTCCTCGGTCTGGCATTTCTTCAACAGGCTTCTCYGGGACTACGGGCCGGACTTCCCTGATTGTACATGTATATCTGCACCGCCGCAATGGGTTAACTGTGCTCCAGTACCACCGAGAACACCTAAATAAGGAAAATATTATTTTAAAGTTACTGTATGCAATTTACCCTAGCTTACATAGAATCGGCTCAAATCAATGCCTATTTAAATCACGTCAAAAAACAAACATGAAATATAAAATGGGCATTTAGGTCCTCTGCAGTAAATTTTCTTTTGTGTTCACATYTCATGTAAATGCAATTATGTTTTGGTGAAAAAAAATTAATTTAACTTTTGCATTTCTTTTCATAATGCAAATGTTTTGTCTTTTCAGCATCTTGATTTTATACYCAACATACAGAGCCTCTGAAGAATGATAAAGTAGTAAGTCTATTTTAGCAGGAGTCACAGGATGTGCCTATTTTGGCACATACCTAAAAGTWCTTGGTGTGTGCTAGAATCAAAACAGAAATGAAGGTGTTATTAAGAACAAGAAGCATATATGTGGGTTTATTTTACATAACAGTATAACAAGTGTAGTGTGACAATCCAACAAAGTAGTACGAAAACAGTTTCACAAAAACAGTATGGCAGAATATATATGTTGTGCATAGGGCAGGGCAATTTATAACAATAATTCAATAACAATATATATCATAAGAGACATGTGATCAATATCAATAGAAAATTTGTCCAATAAAATGTTAATAATTTCACTGAACTCCAGATCCAGAACTGTGTGGCATTCTGGGGGATGTAGGCAGATGAAAAGCTTTAGCTGCTCGACCTCTCACGGTCCAGCTGAGCAAGGCTGGTGGCATCAGCTAACTCACTTACTCTTTGGTAAGCTAGAATCAACCTGTTCAGTAACGTGCAGTAGCAGTTTCATGCCTTTTTTCTCCTGGTCTATATTTCAATATGAAACGGTTATATTCTGATACATTTTTAAGATACATCGCCCAGCCCCAACTGTGCATTTGGTGAATTAGTCCATTATGTTACATAACCTTGAAAAATGATCCAAAAAAGAAAATAACATTTAATAGTAGGGGTGTCCCGGTCCGATATTGATATCGGATATCGGTCTGATATCAGCCAAAAAACGAGTATCGGATTTTATCGGCCTACATAAAAAATGTCCGATAAAAGCGCTCCGATATTAGCAGTCCGYTCCAGCAGTTCACCGACTCCGCTCCAGTGTTTCTATCCAGCAGCGCTTGGATCCAGCATGTAGCGCTCAAGTGATCACAACAACATGCTGCGCTAACAAGTTAGCAAGAATGTCGGCAGTAGAACTTTCTATTTTCATCAGAATCAGAGTTGCAGCTAAGTGCAAAGTTGTCACGCACAAGTTTTCTGAGGGGGCACAGAACCGTGTACGTTTTAAACCGGAGCGACAACTACTCTCCACCCTGGCAGCAGCTTTGTGTTTCGGCTCGGTTCTTTCAGCCTCGGTCCAGTGACTGCACACAGCCGCGCTGTTTCAGAACCTCCTCTCTGGTCCGGTCGGTGGTTCTAAGCTGGCAGAAGCGAGGACAGCACGCTTTACAGTTTTGACATCCTGTGGATTAGCTCTTGATGGACAGAAGAAAGGAGAGCGCAGCTTTTGTTTTGGAATATGAGCGCGACATGATGAGAGCAGTGATAAAAACTGCTCCCTGCAGGAGCGAGAGGCTGATCTCCACATGATGCTCAGAAAATGCAGCAGTAAGAAAGGTAGCTATCAATTTAAATAACTGACTAATTCTTACTATTTATTTTTTGCTCTTGTTATTAGAGTGATGTTTAATCTGTTTACACACTTGTTTGAGTGAAGATTAAGTGCAATGATCACGTTGTTTTAGTTACAGTCAGTAAAACTGGAGCTGTGGACTCTTAACTTTGAACAGACAATAATGTGGGCTTTTGTTTTGTCCCCACCTTCAGTTTTTTCCACCATAAAGCAGCACCAGGCTGACAGGTAGTAAAACAATAACCGAAGTGATTTTGAATTGTTATTTTATACTTTAAAAGAACATTTTGTTTTTATTATGTTTTATTTTTCAGGGTATTATAATTTATTTTATTAAATTGTATAATGTTCTTCAGTTTAAAATGTGTCATCCATTGGTTAAAAATAAATGGGTCAGTTTTTCTCATACCTACTCTTTTTCACTGTTTGACCTGATCAAGACTTTTTATTTTTTTAAATAAAAAAAAAAGATCAAGACTTTTCTAAGATTTTACCCTACAAAATAGGTAAAAGTGTGTGACTTGTACTGTTTTGGTAACGGGTCAATATCGGTATCGGACAATTCTCAAAGTTGTAAWATCGGTATCGTATCGGAAGTGAAAAAGTGGTATCAAGACATCCCTATTTAATWGAGTGGCAGATCTAACAGTGTGGAGATARACAGTASAATGASCTTCTCAGCCAGTAATCTTTAGTTTTGATGGCTCTGTAGAACTTGCCAAAKGGGAAGGGAACAAACAAGTGATGCCCAGAGTGTGATGAGTCATTAAAAATAAAAATTAGTTTTTGAACAGACTGTCAGAATGAACACCGTCCAAGTCTGTTAACACCTAAGGATTATTCACACAGCTTTCAGTACCAGGCTGGTATTGTACAGGAGAATACTTTCAGTGGTGCTGTGGTAAAAGTACGTAGTGTTTACCCCAGTATGATTCCCCGACCCCACAACAAAAAACATCAGTAACATCTAACTCCCCACCTCCCCACCAACCACACCACCACACACAGGTTTGTATCTAAATTTGAACACCATATTAAATGTGTACCCAACAAAGTGATGAGTACGCTGTGTAAAGGGTATGCAATGAAATTTGCAAAAAGATGCTRCAAGGGAACTATTATGCAGCCTGCATGCAGCTGTCGATAAATGGGCGAGATGTTTTCACTTTCAATACCAAAGAAAAAGGAGGCAAAAATACCAGCTTGTAATATTATCTAGAGAACTGTAAGCAGGATCTTAAAAACAGATTTTTTAAGGAACAGTGTGTAATATCCAGCAACATCAATTGGTTGAAGTTCCATATTGCAACCAACTGCAAAATTACAACACAACCCCCAATAACTAAATTTTCTATCACTATATAACACTTATTAAAATCTATTTTTACGATTTATTTCACAGCAGTATCAAAAAGGTGCATAAACGCATCCTAGTAAACAATTAAAATGTCATTACTGCATATAAAAAGCATCTTTCATTTAATGTTGAAAACAAATTAAAATAAGGGGAAATACAACTTACTGGAGCCCCACAGGGAACAATTTGCCTTTGGAAGCTGAAAGTTCAGTCAGCACACCTAACTTTTCAATCTGCAACGAACCTATGAAGAGAAAAAGTGGATGTCAAATATTAGTTTAAATCAGCTCATACGAGTAAATGACAGAGACAAGATAAGTACTGATTCGTTTTTCTTCTTCATCTTAAAAAACACGGAGATAACAACAAACTGCAATTTTAAAAACAAAGAGTCATTCTGGACAGTTACAAAAACAAGTCCAAGTTGGTGTAAATATATCTTGAACCTATGTCACACATTATTGGTTAACAAACTCAGAAATTAGCCAATCAGATTCAATGCTTTGTGGGCATCATAAAAGCCAAAAGGGGCACAGAACAGAACTATGCCAGGTTGACATGGAGCACAACAGAATAAACACGTGACACACGTCTCCCTCATACTGTTTTTAAAGACAAAATTAATTAAATTTAAAGAGGACCTATTAGGCACAATTCACCTTTTTAACGTTTTTATGCTTCAGTTTAGGTTTGTAATGCTTGCAGAAACAGTCCAAGTGCCAAAAAATTCTCCCAGACGTTTTTTTTTTTGGCAATATGTGAAATGTTTTGTCAGTGTCAGCAAATGAGTTCTTTCAAAAACATGTGGATTGTTACGTCACAATCCAGGGAACATCGCAACGCGAAYTTTTTCAATGGATTTTTTTTTGGGTTAAGTTCCTCCACCCAACTTACATGCCCGCCAGCTCGTCTGACCACTATGGGAACAAGACAATTCAGTCACTCAGCACCCCACCTCTGGAATGTTCTCCATTTTAAAATCATAAACTAAAACTCTTCTTTTTAAACAGGCATATTTAATTTAACCTCCATCTCTCATCACCTCTATTTAACTTGTGTATGATGTTTTATTGTTATTTTTATTTGCTGTTTTCTAATTTTCTGCAATATTATTCAGACTTCCATTTAYTGGTCATGAATTCCCTTCAATTCTATATATAGACAGTGATGTCTGGTAAGTGTCATCATCGAGGCAGACATAAATTTATAACGTCCATTAACTTATGTTCCTCATTTAGCTGATGTGTTGCCCATTTCTGCAGTAATATATCTAAGAAGGGAGTTAATGTCCATCATTTTCCCAAAACTAGAAAATTCAGAAGATATGAGTAAAGTTTGTTAGTCAAACGAGCTGACTTCATTGCACCATTGCGTACTGGTGTTCTGTGTTTGAAACATTTTAAACCAGATGATTACAAGTCAGAAAGGACTCGGGCATTTGGATTGAAGGGAAATTTGACCAAGGAAAGATGCCGAGCTAACACACAGTTCTACCGGAAAGGGATCTGGAAACCGGACAGATTAGCTGCAGAAGACTAGAATTTGTGAGGAAATGTAAGCTTTGCATGTTAGACCCTTGATCATTTTCATTTGCATCAACAGAACAGATTTTAAACCTTTAGCAAGTTTTTGAATTGTGCTGATTGGTCAAGTTAAACCAGAGTTATTCTGAGTAATTTTTTTCTGAAAACCCTCGTCACATTTAAAGCAGGTGGCTTAAAGAAATTATCGTTATCCGCTCTTGGTTTTTGCCAAACCTCTTGAACTCCTCGCCTCGTTAGCATTTGTTCTTTCTATTTCTTTTAACTTCTGTTAACTAATGATTTGACATTTGAACACAGACAGGGTTGGTATTCAMGGAAACCGCAGAATCTTTGCTAGAAGCTCATGTAGGGGTCACCTCGAGTGAAGAAACAAGATTTACTGCCTCGAAGCAGGCCTCGCACAGGCCTGACGAGAAAACAGGAACTCTGTCACAAACTGAACTCTATTCAGGCCATGACAGGTCATTTCAACCCAGAAGAGAATTTCTCAGTTCTCTTAATCAGATAACGGACAGAACAATCTTTTCTGTTCGTGATTCATTTGTTGTTTAACTAAGAATGTTTATGCATTTGTTAAATCATATAATGACTGTCACAAGAAAGTGGAATCATTTCTACTCTTTTATCGTGCCTAAAAATTAATTAATGGTATAAAAAATCACAGAGAAAATCATTACCATGTTTCTTTGTGTTTTTATATAAATCACTGTTTTTATTTTACTGGGAACACAGTAATATAATTGTGGATTTTTCTTGAGAAAATCTTTCATTTATCTGGACTAACAGAATGGTTCAAACTGATTATAAAACAGAAATGTTAATTAATCATCATAAATGTTTTACAGTGATTTCTCTTAGAGTCTTTCTGGAGAAAAGCTAAAGAAATGTTATCATATTCTGTTGTGAACAACCACAGAATTTAACCTTGACTGGCGCCTGGCTAGCAAGTCTTTATCTTTCTTCCTTTTTCTGACTCATCTTAATGCCTGAGGGCGGAACCAAAGTCGTCCGTTGCTATTACTAACACGGACGCCTTTGAGTGAGACACACTTCTTCCTGGATGCCAAACTTGGAAGGAATGCTGCGTTTCTTTCCGGAGAAGCCAGTTTGGCTCGTTAGGTCTTGCCCATGAGCTAACTAGGGAAGATCTAACGGCCGGGACAGCGGCATGCCAGCCGAATGTCCCACCCCGAGGCTGCAAGTCTCAAAGTGTGTTTTTAACTCCCGAGGGAGATTTTATTTTGAAAGAAGGCACTGGATGTACAGCTTGAATATTTCTGGCATGGACTGAAACAGACGAAAAGTTACCTGAAATAACACCTTTCTCGCTGAGGAACAGTGAGCGAGCCGATTAAAAAGTTCCCTGACTGATCGGAGGCGAGGCAGTGACTACCCAGGGGTCGCTTAAGAAGCCATCACCAGGTAAAGCTGAGCGTGTTCAGGGTGACGCGCCATGTGGAAACTGAGTGCAGAAGGGACGTGCTGATCCGGTTTGCCACACTCTTGATAAAGTAAAATTAGTAATAATACTAACAGTACTTTCCTCCTTTCTTTGTCTTTATTTGCCAAAAYTTAAGCTAAAAGTGCCGGTAAAATTGTTTGGTTGTAACATCAGAACTGACGTTTTACTGTTCTATATAAGTAATCAATTGATGTGAATTAAAATTTGGACGCGAGTTTTATCTCATTTAACTTTGAAGCTTGTTATAGGAATAACCACAATCTAACTTATGATGTAACTTATGATCTGTTCAATTTGTGTAAATAAATGATTGCATAATCTTTATGAATCAACTTGAACTCGTCTGAACGTTCACTTATTGTGTCACTTTTCACTTCGCACAGTCAAGATATTACCAGTAATGAGAAAATACCTTGGTAAAACTTTCCTCATAACCTTGTTTATGAGAGATGWAGGAACAGCTTAATTCACCTTAAGCCAACCCCTACACTYATATAAACTTTTTCTACAGCCATTAAACAGTGAAGACAACAAGCTGCTGAATCACAAAGTAAACAAATTAAACTAAATGGCATCAACACAAAACTGTAAAAATGTTTGGATCTTTTTTTTTTATACCTTTTTTTAGAAATCCAAGTCAAAGAAAATACCAAAATATTTTTTCTGATGTGATTACGAGTAAACAGGCTCCAGCTGGATTAAACATAATTTTTGTGACTCAGTTCTCCATCCTCACAAAGTCACTATCAGCTAATGAAATGCTGTTAACTGTTGCATGTTTTCATAAATAAGTTCAGGCTGGGTCTGGATGTTTTTTTATTCGACGGAGGTGGAGGGTAATAACCAAGAGCAGATGGAGGCASTTTACTGCAGCCACCAGTTATAATAAATAGGATAAATACTGTATGTGGGGTGAATTATTTTATCATATGTCTGGTTTCACGTGACCGTTCAGCACAATTTAAAAACTGGTGACGAGTTTCAAATCCGTTTGACACAAATTAAAATACTCATTAAAATGAGGTTTTTTTAAAAATAAAATAAATTTTAATGTAAATACTAGCATATATCAGTTGGTGTTTTGAAGCCAGGAAGGGTCCATCAAGGAYGGGGAAGCTGTGGCCGAGCTGCAATCTTTTTGCCTTTGTGGGAGTTTGTAGGCCTACAGATCAGAACCTCCTTAACGATCAATAACTTCACTACAAAGAGTCTTCTTCATCACTTGTAGATAAATCATCAAAGATATCTACTAAATAACTGGAACTTTCTCCATTCAAATCATCCTCACTCATGTAGTCCTACGTCATGAATATGTCCTAAAATCCTCATTTTCCATCTGCTTCAGCTCACTTTCCATTTACACGTTGTGCCTGCTCCTTAGGAGTTYCATGTTTTCCATCCCATATACGGTTTTGTAAATGTGCCAAAAAACGGTTTTGTGGCTGTGCCAAAAACTACTAAAAGTGTTCAACATGTTACACTGACCTATCACTCTGTTAAGCAAGTACAGCTATGATTTCCAAAGTTGCTCACACTCTTTCTTTTCTGGAAATGCAATGAGGTAATTTCATTAAATTGACAAATTCAGTGCTTGTGAATGCCTTTTACGGTCTTACCTCTTTCAAAATATAAGACCTGAGGTTTTTATTCCCCAGTGGAAACTAACTTCTTTCAACCCAGACATTACAACAATGTGGTCTGGAACCAGAGGATTTTACATCATTTCTGTTTTTTTATAGGTCAGGGTGACCAAAACCGTTCGGTAAAACCAAAACCAACTTTGGACACATGAATACATTAGAACACAAAGTTTAAACCTGGACTGTAAGCAGAAACTTGGTTTTCCAAAGCCACCCATGCTTCCACTATGTGCTTAGTACATCACTGTCTGTGTACTTGCTATGCTGATTTAGGCTAAAATGGTTTACTTAACATATCAATTTATATAAGAACAACAATCTGTTTGGGGGAAAAAAAACATCTTACCAATCATCACATTGATCAGTTCAGGCTCCACACCAGTCAGGAACTTTCTGCGAAGGCTGATCCCTTCAAAATCCACATAAACCCTGCGGTTTACTTCAAACTCCTGACCAGTTATCATCTACACAACAAAACAATAATCTGTAAGAACACAGATAGCAACTCAAGTATGCGTGTCTAAATTGCAGCAGTTAGTTAGTATCCAGTTAGACATGGAATTTACCCTGCCGCTGATGAGATGCCGGTGTTTGTAGCAGTAGACCTTCTTGTCGTCCTGGAATACACACTGCCGGGAGCGGGCACACATGAAGTGGTAATTACTTTGACAAGAAGTCAAACAGCAGCCCACGGTGGCGCCCGTCTGATTGCAGCGTTCACATCGCTGTTGAGAGGGGAAAAGACGTGGATGAAACACAAATGTAAACACTAACTAAAAAACACAGTTTGAGTACAAGAAATCCAAMCTGAGTAAAACCAGACTTGTATATCTGAACCATAGACTTCATTGTTCATGTTCAAATGAAGTAGAAGATTGTAAATAAGGCCTAACTACTAATATCAGAGTAAATGAGTCAGATTGTTTTAATAAAGATCAATCTGCTAGAATAATAGTGCACCAACCATCAAGCGCCCTCTTGTGACCGCGCTGTGTACGTGCAGAAGAGAGCCGTTGTCTTCTTCAAACACCTCTGCCGACCACAGGCAGCAGTTGACGTGTGCCCACTCATTCTGACCCAGGTACAGCAACCTGCCTGCTTCCTATGGACCAACACAGGAAGTGTACCAGGTTTAAAGTGAAGATTTGCACAAGCAGCGCTGAGAACTGTTCACATTTATCTCATTTCTTACATTGGGTTTCAGGTCTCCATATTTTTGGCACAAAGAGCACTGCCGTTCATCCTCTTTAGTCCATCCGGTGTCTAAGTCAGCTTTTGAAAGCCTGCCTCTCCTCCCTATAAAATAAGACACTCATAAACACAACACAACAGGAATAAAAAAATTAAAAAAAATTCTAAAATGACATCATTACCTTTGACTTTGATAGTCCTGCTGGTTTTAAAATGATTCCAGTTTGTTGGGTCTCCTGACATCGGCGAAGCGGCCTCTTCCTCCTTTATGTCCAGGTTTTGTCCATTATCCTCCTGCAGGAGACCCAACGGAGGCCTGGACGAGAGCTCCTTCCTCTCCTGCCACTGGGCGTAAACGTGCTCTGTTGTGGGAGGATGAACAGCCTGGGACAGCATCCCCCTACGAGAAGAAGGGCAGAGTTAAAACGCTGACCATACAGAAGAAAATACTACTATTTCTATACACAAATATGCATGAGATACAATAAAGCATTGTTCACACAAGCTTTACTCACATGGGCAAGCCTTTTGTAGAAATGTTCCACAGCTTTGGGTCCTGGCCATTGAACCAGTTAAAGACCTCTTCAAGGAGCTACAGAAAAAAAAAAACATCACATTAATTAGTTTATTTTGTAACATACTGTACATATAAAATATTTTGTCGTTTTAAGGGACACTGCCAAAATGAAAAAGTGCAACTTTAAAGACAATCCTGAAGGATTTTAGAGGTAAGTCAAATTAATTCAGACCCGCCGCTCTCTTTGATTGTACTGCACCTTTAAGTAGTACGAGCGTGCCAGGGCCGTGGGTCTTTGCTCATCTGGAAGGTGGTCTTCTAGCTCAAGTCTCTTTCGCACCACTTGAACCACATCTTCATGGAACATTTTCTGTGAAAAAAAAAAAACAAAACATGATATCACATACATTCAATTTCCCTTTATGTACAAAGATACAAGTCCTGACAACATGAAGTGACATGACGTCCATAATTCTCTTAGAGTGGAAGCAGGTGAAATTTCATACTTTGAAGAAACATTTTAAACTGTTAAAAGTAGGAAAACTTTGTCAGAGAGAATATTTGAAGCATACTGTATAATTTCTTGCATTTATTCATAATAAATTGTCAATTAAACATGAGTACAGGTATAAACAACATCCAAATAACAGCACAATGCAATATTCATCATCCTTATTTACATACCAAAAAACTAGACCAAAAAAGCATTCCTAATGCACATCACCCTCCACCAGTTATACCAGAGTTTTGCTTTAGTCAAACCTGATGCACCATTTTATTTGATGTTACAGGATCTCATATCAGCTAACAAGATCTGTTAGAGCTTAGCGTATGTATTGAAGATGACTCACAGCTACTACATCAAGTTGTCTATCAATATATGTACAATTGACCAAGACATGGTGGCCATCTTGTATTGGGTTGATGACGTAAGGTAATCAAATATTGACATACTTCCAATAACTACGGTACCTTGTGAAATTTTGATTGAAACTAGAGATCGACCGGTACAGGTTTTTTAAGGCCGATACTGATGATTTTGACATCAGTCTAATTGGTCTCTGGTAGAGTTGGGCGATAAATTGTTTTAATMGATTAATTCGAATTTTCCATTTATAAAGATTTAATTTAGGGAAAAATCGAGATTTTTTTCCCCAACCAGTGCACTCTTTGGGGCTTCCGTAGTTCAGAGGTCACCCYGCCTGTCCCACAAGATGCTTGGTACATGACATGACAACATGGCAGCTAACAAAGAGGATCTACTTCTCAAAAAAGGCAGTGTTTCTTCAGTTTTCTGGATCTGGTCAGGTTTCCCAACCTCGGACTTGGAGCAACGAAGATCTCACTGCAAAAATCTGTTTGAAGACTCTTGCTACAAAAAGCAGGAGTAAAACAAATTTGTTTCGACACCTGAAACAGAGGCACTCCGTTAAGTGGGAAACAAAATCGATTAAAATCGAAAACTGAATTTGGGATGAAAAAAATTGGAGATTTTGTTTTTGGGCCATATCGCCCAGCCACAGTCTCCGATATGTGCCGACTGGTTTTTTGGGCCAATTCTAGAAGCCGATACGTTTTTTTCTTCCTCTATTTACATGGTAAATGACATGATGACAAATGTTACATAAGTCTGCACCGTAGTGCGAAAGACCTTGGACATTCGTTACCCCATGTTTATTATGTGTGTCTTACTCCRAACARATGTTCTAAACTGCAAGTTCCTAGTTTGTGTTTATCACTGACAATGGCAATAAAGCTGATTCTGAAGTTTCAATTTAAACAAAAAAGAAGCATTTATTAACAAAACAAACAAAACATATTAACAATGGATAGCAAACAATGTAGATCATTTATAACAAATATGTAACAATACAAACAAGCAATATTAAGTTAAGATTGTTTTTATTTTATCAATGAACGAATGTTCATATCGGTTGATGTCGACGCAAGAAGAAAAAAAATTGGCCGGCCAATGTATCGTTGACCTCTAATTGAAAACTGTCCAACGGTTTAAGGAAACTTTTGCAAAATGACTAACAGCAATGCATCTAACAGTTAATGCTAAGGTTTTCAGCAACAAATTACACAATGTGCATTCCTAAAAAAGTGTGTTGGGAAGGATGATTAGTGACAAACAGTGTCTACAGTCACTGGGCTGCAGCAGCCAAAATGAATTTAATTTATCTCAGACATTTGCCAGTGGTTTTTGTATATCCAATGATTACTTCATGAAGGTTTAATTTCAATCCAATTTGTGTTTTAAGAAATATTTTGCTACCAAACCCAGGCAATCAACTGTAATTTGGTGAAGATTCTCAGCTGTTAACACACCAAATTTCAGTCCAGCATCTATAAAACTGGCTGAGTTGTAGCCAGTTTCACAGCATCCGCCCACAAAAGGTGACACAAGGACACGTGACATTGCTAATCACAGTTACTGTACATGTGGCCACCTCAGTCAAAGCATGTAATTTTGCAGTTTTTCATACTAGAAATTTAGTTGTGGAGGAAAAACATTCAAAAGCTGCTCATTTTGCCCGTAACAGACCACCTATTAAGCTGACAWGGGTCAAGTTTTGTAATGTTCTGACTGTCTGGAGAAAAACAGAGTATAGCACCTCAAACAAACGGTCACGGACAGAAACAGAGGTCTGATGATTAGAGTTAATTCCGCAGCCAAAAGACATATTTGAGTCATTAAGTTGACCGTGAACTCTTTGGATCACGCAACATGACAATGAGCCCAAGAAAAGCAAAAAATTCACCATAAAATGACTAAAAATTTCCCTTGTTTAAAGACCAGATCATGAAATTCCAAGTTATTATTCTCTAAGACACAAAGTTCAACATAATTACAATATTTTCTTAAAGTTAAATGAATACAGTACATTAACAAACCATATAAAAAGTCATGATATATAGAATACTGCTCTGTACTTACAAGGGACGTATAGAGGCCTTTGTCAAACTTCTTGCCAACAGCTCGGAGGTCACAGGCTGGCTGTCCTTCCATTCCACCGTCAGGATCGACCAACCTTTCACACTAAAACAGGAACAGTTTCTGAGATTTCACATGACTTCTTTTATACACGTTTCTGAATTAAACAAACAGGCATGTGCATTTTCATTACAAACACTTGTTGAATTTGATTGGTAATTATTTGTTTTTTTTTTTCCTTCTTTGAATATTCAAATATCAAAGTTGAAGGGGATGCATGTATTCTGACAGCAAACCTGAGCTCACCCATGAAAAAAGTTTCTATTTTATAACCTTTTCAAAATATTTYAGCAGAAAGACAGCGGGGACACTTCCAGTTGGTTTTACTTTTTGAGGAGGGTGGGGTTGTAAAAAGAACACCCTGACTGGAAACGCACCACTAAAAATATAGCTTGGCTACTCATCCATACTAAATAACAACTAAGAAAAGCTAATTAAATTGTATCGATATAAAGTTATCACGACAGCCATATTCTAGGGTTGGGCGATACTGGCAAAAAAATTAATCACAATTAATTGTAGCTTTTAGACAATAACAATTAATATGACAATTAACCCYCCTAGAGTCCCTGGACTCAGGGATGCCCCAGTCACATGTCTTCTCTAAGAATCTGTTTCAATCTGTGTCAAAAGTAGACTTCAAACTATACACCATTTTTGAAATTGTGTTAATAGGCCAACTAAAAACCAGAGTTTTGATAAATCATTTATGGCATAAAAAATGTTCATTATAAGCACATTGCAGTGACAGGAAGTGGAAAAAATGGCAGATTCATGGAAAAATCTGTCTTTATAATTACGATGTAGTTTAGTGCTTCGTCAGTTTTAGCGTGTTTGAGTCAAAACAACAAGGTGATTTTTGAACTTGGAGCTGCAGCTAATTGAAAAGGAGGTGGAGCCATGGACACAGGTGGACCAATCAGAACCGCTTCAAACCGAGGAGGGAAGATCAAAGGCAGGGATGGAGGAAAGAAACAGTCTGACACAATCAACTGCCAAATATTAACAAGTTTTCCTGACGAGTCATTGCACACGATACAATTTTGCCCAATGCTCTTTTATAAACATTTAACTCCTAAACACAGTGAATAATTTTACTACCTGTGAGCATGTAACAAGGTGCTGGGTGAGGGTGGACGAGAGAAGGCAAGCCAGCACCTTCTCCACGCCGGCCCGGAGCTCGATGTAGAGCAGCTCTCTCCAGGCACTGGGCTGCGTCACGCTGCACGGCCGACACGAATACACCACGCTCTCAGGCAGGCTGGAAAGGATCTCGTACAGCTCGTCTGAAATTCATTTACAGGTAAAAAGAGAATTAGGCCGTTTGCAAATCTAAAACGACACCTAAAGTAAGGCTAGAGAAGTGTTTTAGCACTGCTATCAAGCATTAAAGTGCCTGTGACATGCACATTCTTCACATATAAAAAGTCAAAGAAAACATCTTTATATTTAAGAAACTTATAATACGCATGATTTTACCCATTTTGTCACATAACTGGCAGATTTTCTTTTGAACTTGGCTCAGCCAAAATGAAACAGGAAGTGACATCAAAGGGGAACTCCTTAAGAAAGAGAACTCTCTGGTAATTGTTTATTGAAACATTATTTTTTGAACTTCGGCTCTTGTTCATCTCTCTCTGGTAGTGATTCAAAATAATCTACAGCAACATCAGATTCTTCTCAACAGTTTGTCTCGTTAGCAGTTGCAGCAACGCTCTGTTCACATTCAGACATTCCCCTTCGACATCACTTCCTGTTACTTCTCGTGCAAATATCTCAACAACTGTTCGTCTCAACAACATAAAAATAGTTTTGCAATATGTTATCAGTGTTATCTTTCCAAAAATGAATTCATATTTATCACAAAAAAATTTATGTCATGGGCACTTTAAAACGTGTTGGCATGAAGAAAAATGAAGGGAAATCACCTGTTAGATCCTCACACTTGGCATGTACCCAGTGGTTACATGTGCCACACTGCATCATCTGACTGTCATAGTCATTGTCTTCATAACACTTGAAGCAGATTGGACAGTAATTACCTAAAAACATACAAACAAACAATAAAGATAGCCATTAYATCATTAATGATGGTTATTAGAGGATAAAAACAAGATACACGTGAACTGACAAGGCTAAAATCTGCCCTCACCCTGGTCAAAGAGTTTGGAACAATCTGGACAGAGGCCTTTGTCGTGGTTCCAGTCCGTGTCCCAAGTCTTCCCCGGTGTGACGCTACAGCTTTTGCACCGGATGCACGTCATACAAACCTGCAGGGAAACAAACAYATTGGTAGGAGACCAAAACAYGAACGCAATAAGCATCGACGTCTCGTCTTGYAGTCATACCCAGGTTTTTTTCTTCTTAGGCTGCTTCGGGTAGTTCGGTCCCAAACAGGAAGCGTGATAACAGTTCTGGCAGCGCTCACACTCCAATAGCGGCTGAGAGGGGGCAATGGGAGAAAAATAAACTGAAGCCTTGTGCTCAAAAGGCACTGAAACAGACCAGATTAGGATTATCGYTCTGTACCTTGGAGAGCTTGTTTTTTCTCCCGCACACGTGACAGAACTTGCAGCGTCGGCAGCACCAGTTCTCTTTGTTCTCCTCAGTCGGCCGCTCGGCGGGTTCGAGGCAAAACTGGTGGAAGGGTTCGCAGCACACCTGGCAGTACAACATCTGTACAAAAATAAATAAATAAATAAATAAAAATCACAAGATACTGTTAATCTTGAAATAGCACAACATGATGACCGACTACTGCGAATTCAATGTTTACAAAAGTAAAGCAAAGACTTCAACACAATWATTAGATTTAAACCGAGCAGAAAGCACTGAGCAGTCACCTCATGTTGCCCCTTACTGGCACAAAGGAAGCAAACGTAGGGTGGCATGAGAGGTGCGGAGGTCAGTATACTTAAACCCCCCATATTCCAGACGTTCTCTAAGGTGCAGTCCTCCTGAAGACGAGACAACAGTTACGACCGAACATCACAAACTACTCAGCAAGAGACAGAACTTCAGSTAATTTGTGAYCCATCATAYCGAAATGAGAATTAAGTCAAATTTGGACAAAATGACCAAACKACATTTTMAGATTCCTGCTTTAAAAGCTACATTTAGATACCTGGATCATTCTGATATAAACTTATCCAGAGATATGACTTAAATGGTCTTGTTGGTTACAATAATACATTACTGTTTGGTCTGAATCCTAGTTTTATGTAAATTTRTTGAGTAATTTTTGATGTTAATACAAAAAGGAAAATATTATTTGTATATTAAGATTTCCCAGGTGGAAAGAAACAAAAACATTTCTAGCTCACATGGAAAAATTCTAAATTTTAAGGCTTTTTCCACAAAATCAGATTTTTTTTCTTTTGTCGTTACTGCTCAAAAAATGCTTCAAATAATTTTTAGGATTACATTTCAGACCGTTCATTCAAATAATACTATAAGGCATTAATTCATGACAAAATGCTAATTTTTACACACATTTAAATCAAAAACCCTATATCTGCCTTTTTCTCCACATTCCTCTTTTGGACATAATCCTTGTTTCGATGTGATGGGTCACATTTTTGTTTGTGTTCTTGTGGTGGAATTTCACAAATGTGACTTTTTATGACTGCTTTGGTTAAAAAAACACTAATTTATTTTAAGTAAACTATCCATGAAGAATTAAATACAAGAGCTGTTTGAATAAAAGACCTCTACTGACCTCTACTGGGGAAAAAAAAGTACCATCATGCTTTTCTACATGTGTAACATGAGTGGAATACGGCTTAAAAACAGAAAAATTAGAAGCTTTTCTTCTTTTGTTTATTTTAAATAAGTGGACCTAAATATATAAAGAAACATATAAGGCTTGATACGATCACAGAGAATAAGAGCCCACCTTGAAGTCAACCCTGATTTTGTGAGTCGGTTTAGAAGACTCAACTTCCCGCTGCTCGAACCCATGAGCCAAGGCAGCGAGGACGCTGGGAGGGGTCTGCTCCAAAGGGCTTGGAGACGGAAGAACCTGAGAGACGAGCAGCAGCTTTAAAAGTTGKTCTTTTAACTTGTTCAGTACGAACCACAGCATGCCTTAGCTACAGGTCAATCAGATAAAACTGTCATAACGGTTAAAATTCTGAGGACCAATCAAAACGTGAGCTCCGAATAAAACGTCCCACCTTCTCGGATTTCCGTCGACCCTGTGGTACCCGATGAGAACTAGATTTGCGATGCCTGACTTCATCGTCCGAAAAGTCTTCCAAGAATCCATCCAGAGATATAAAGTCTTCAGAACAAGAGGGAAACATTTTATTATTACACAACTTCTCATTAAACACAGAACAGCTTCCGTGTGCAGAAACATTTTCTTCTTTAAATTGTAAAAAAATGACCTTGACTGAAGCGCGGCCCAGCACCCCGCCTTCTTGCCGGCGAAGCAGAACTAGAGAAGTTTTTCTCGTCCAGATCCGATTCGTAATCCACCAGGTCGAAATAAACCCGRGGTTTCACGACGCGTTTCGGCTGCTTCCTCACCGACGGGCTGCTGCAGTCGGTGTGGAGGCCAGACGGCGAGTCTCCGGCACCATCGTTCCCTTCATCGTTACTCGAATGACCCCCGCTGAGAGATGGCCGCCTTCGCTTCGTGGAACCTTACAGCAGAAGACAACAGAACAGTTAAAAYGGTTTTTGTAGCTGCTTACTGAACATTAGCACAAATGGAGACATAAATACCTTTGGGCACCGTTCTGCCACTAAGTCTGCGTGCTTTCCTCTCTTCAATCTGATCGCATCTCTTATACCTTGTATTCAAAGAAAAATGAAGTTACTTTCGAACGTGGYGACGTGCAACGCAAGAAGTAATCAGAGAAACTTACACACAGCACTGCCGCTTCGTATTGGGACCACCGAACTTGGGTTTGTCGAGGCAGTTTATGCACCTGCCGCAGTCGTCCTCGTGGTTGCAGCCTTTGCACACCCCGCACCTCCGAGAGCGGTACCCRAACGGCCCGAGTCCTTTCCGTTTCACGAAATGCGATGGCTTCTTCGACTTTGTCACCTTCACATCTGACAGCCCCGGGCTGTCGGACTCTGATGGAGACCCAATATCTGCAGGAACAAAGATACGCGATTTTTAAATCAAAACAGTCTCAGTTTAGATATAATCTCCTGTGTTCTAACTTAAACTAATGCTCACGTTTATTCATTAGACACAAAGAACGTAATCTAGATCAATCTATCAATGGCGGTATAAACCTTGGGTGACAGCTGATGGGGAAATGCCGAATCGCTCGTGCAGCGGCAAGGCGCTTAATCTGGGAATGTCGTCGGGTACCAGGGCTCGAGGCTGCCCCAGCACCACGGAGGCAGCACGACACACATGCTTGATCCGTGGCCCTCCGGCTCTGCGGAACTCCTGGCACAGTGGAGAGATGAGCTGTGGCTGAAGACGACAAAAAAAGCTTTTTACAAAACTGCTCTTTTTTATTTGAACTTGAACCAACAATCGCTAATTGCTGCTAAATCAATTTTCCTGGGATTTTAGTAAAAAAAAACAGAGATAGAAAACAAGACTCAGTCTGAGTCTGATCGACGTTTCACCCCCATCTYGGGGCGTATTGATCGGACCACTCACTTGTCCTTGAAGTGGCTCTGTCTTGACCGGAACATCAGGAGGAAGCTGCATCCTCTGCTTCCTCCTTTGCCTCTTCGAGGAGATATCTTGCGACCTGGCTCCAACTGGGCCGGACAACAGCTGCAGGGGGTAATTGCAAAAACAAAAGGTATTAATTTAAACCCAAGAAAAAACATCTTGTWCGTGTCATACTTTCGTAACAGGTTCTGTAACACTGGACTTAAGTTATAAAAACAAGCATCAATGGAAGCAAACATAAGCACCTGCTCAAAGACGCTTAAATATTTATTGTCTTGTAGCTAAAGGCCAAAGCATGCAGTGATTTTTTTTCATTCTAATTTTACGTCCTTAGCTACAAACTGAATATCTGTGATTCATCACATCGAAACAAAGATTAAGTCCAAAAGAGGAATGTGGAAAAACAGGCAGATATAGTTTTGATTTAAATGTCTGCAAAAATTGCATTTTGTCAAAATATAATGAATTAATGCCTTATCAATGTTTCATTTGAATGAACTGTCTGAATAATAATTTTAAGCATTTTTTTGAGCAGTAACAACAAAAAAACTAATTTTAAGGAAAAACGCCTTAAAATTTTGAAATTTTTCCAGTGAGTTAATGATTTTGTTTCTTTCCAACTGGGAAATGTTTATATACAAATAATATTTGAGGTTTCCTCTTTATATT